GAAGTCACACTGATGAGGTTTGGAGAGATGATTCTCCTTTTGCAAAATATAGTTAAATAAGAGGTACTTGTATAGAGATTTATAGTTGTAGAAGATAGAGATTCATGTGCTTCTTATCTTGGCCACAAAGTTTTTGATCTAGACAGAATATTTATATTCAATACCTTCTTATTTGTAGATTCTTTTATGAAAGAGAATTTATAAAGAGCTTATCAATTAGGATTGTTTGACATGTAGGACAAAAAAAATTCTGTGTAAGGACTTTCTGTGAAAGCAAGGACTGTTACGGGAAACTGATCATTACATAAGATACTGGAGCACGAATATGGAAGGGAGAAAGTGTGTTGAGTGGGAAGAGCTTTCTCTGTATTTGGCTAAGGTAGGAGACCTTTGTTTATTTTGGAGTTGAGTCCCAGATCTTCGAATCGGTTTGAACCAGTTCAGTCATGGCCAATGAAGCAAAACTAGAACAGACCTTAATTTTTACAATTTGGGTGATCTGGAATGGGAAAAATTATGGGCTAAAGGCCTAGAATGGGACACTCAGAAGAGGCATAGTGAGCCCTTTTAGGAGTCTGATGCATGAGACTGGATTATTGCCAGGATTGTAGAGAGCAAGACACACTCAAAGCTGCACCATTGCCCACCGTTTTTTGAGCAGGCCATCACTGTTTCCAGCCCTGCTCAAAATCCTGCAGGGAAGAGATTTATTTCTATTTATTTATTTATTTTTGTAGTGTTCTCTCCCCTCCCCTTCTACCCCTGGTAACCAACAAAGAAAGTTTCCTTCCATATATGAACCTTTCCTTGACTTTTTACAATAATGAACTAACACAGTATTTGTCCTTCTGTGATTGACTTATTTCACTCAGCATAATGTCCTCCAAGTTCATCCATGTTATGCAGTATTTTGTAGATTCTACATTATTCTTTAGTTTTGCATAGCATTCCATTGTGTTTATGTACCATAGTTTGCTTATCCATTCTTTTGTTGATGGTCATGTAAGTTGTTTCCATCTTTTTGCTTTTGTAAATAGTGCTGCAATGAACACGGGTGTGTATATATCTGTTCTTGTCCTGGCTCTCACTTCTATAGGCTATATACCTAGTAATGGGATTGCTGGGTCAAATGGTATTTCTAATTCCAACTTTTTAAGGAATTGCCAGGCAAGAGATTTGGTTGATATGCAACACATATGCTGCCCTTGTTTTCTAAGAGGGACATTTTTTCAAACTGGGCTTTGACCTGTAATTTTTCCCCATTCCAGTTATTGTTTTGGGTCACTCAAATTTGACAAATTTGGATTTGTTCCGCTTTCATGTCCTTGGCCATGGCTGAACTGGGAAGAACAGGTTTGAAGCCCAGCTGAGTCCTTGGATAAACCACTTTACCTATTTAGGGCACAATCTCTTATCCTTAAGTTTCATTGCTGCTGGATGTTTTCTTTACAGCATATTGTCTCAAGAGCCTTCACTTGGAGTCCTTTATTTATACCTTGTCTTATATAAATGTGACTTTCATTGTTATGGAATTTAATCTATAAAGCACATGTGTTGATTTTTAAAATCTTTAAAAACACCCTTAGTGAAAAATTAACTCAGCTTTTATAAGTATGCAATTCTGTTCCTATTATGTTTAATATTTTTAAAGGAGTAAATTTCCTCTAGGCAGCCCAGAAGGCAGACCAATGGTCTCCTGATTAGCCTTAAAAGAATTATTAGAATCTTTTAGGCTACTTCTCATCAATGCTTTATCCAAATCATCCACTGTAGGAGTATACAGGTCTCTAAAATTAATTTTTAAAGAAGTTAATTCCTTAGTTTACTGTGATGATCTTGATAATATTCCCACCAGCACTTATATAAAGCTTTGTTTAGTTTGCTGCTGCAGACTAGTTGTTGGTTAGCTTCCACAAATAAACTATGCTTGCTTTATAACTCTGGTGGCATAGTGCCTAAGGCATTTGACTGCTAACCAGAAGGCTGGCTGTTCAAACCCACCAGCCACTGCTTGGAAAGAAGATTGGGCAATCTACTTCTGTAGAGATATGGCCTCAGAAACCCAAGGAGGGGTCCCTATGAGTCAGATCTGACTCGGCAGTGAGTTTGGTTTTTTTTTTTTTTTCTTTATAACTTAATGTTGTTGGGTGCCATCAAGCTGATTCCAACTCATAGTGACCCCGTGTGACAGAAAAGAGCTGCCTCCATAGTTTTTTCTAGGCTGTAATCTTTATGGGAGCAGATTACCAGGTCTTTCTCCCTTGGAGCTGCTTGGTGAGTTTGAACATCCAACCTGTTGGTTAGCAGCCAAGTGGCTAGCTGTTGTGCCACCAGGGCTCCTATAATTTATCCTAGGAAATGCTCTTTAAACAGGGTGCAAAAGTTTTTACAGGAGGAAAATCAAGCAATCTGTTTCTATAAATTAGAAAAAAAAATTGGCTGAATGGAGAACAATGAATAAGGAACATGAATTTGAAAGTAAATAAATATATTAATTGTTAAAGAATAAAATAAAATAAATTGTACTGTGGGTGTGGGGAAGTGGAACTTAGAGACAGATAAAATTCTTAGAAAAACTCAGCAAGATGAGTATCACTTAGAGCTTTAAGACCAGAGCAAATGAAACATGGAACCTATTTTCTTTTTTAGGGGGGAGATTTCTCACTACACAATTTTGGGGGCAGATGTAGGAAAGGATAAAATATCATACATGTTAGAAAAGAGGGATGTAATTTCCCACACCCTTGAACAAATGGTTTAGTTAAGGAAATTTACGAAACCTTGAAATTTGAATTGGTGCTATAGCAAAATTTAAAAGTAAGTACACAAAGCCAAAATGGCTTTCATGCATGTTAGCATCATACTACCATGCCTGACACTTAACCTGATGATAACACTAACTCTTCATCTGGGTAGGTAACCCTGAAGGTGACTTAGATCTTGAGCCTTGAAATGAAAGTGGTGATAAAGGCAATATGTGATCTGGAGAAAGCAGTGGAATGCCACTGACATGTCAAAAACCACAGGAGTTGTAACTTTAAAATTTATGTTTCAGTTGTACTAACTGAATTTAGTGTTTACACCCAGACTCCAAGGGTAGGATCTATTGCACGTAGAGAGGTGAGGCATTCCAATTCCATTTATTTTCTGCTGAAGCTGGCAAATCAAATGAAGATTTGTATCTTAAGTGACAGGATTCAGATGAAACATAACAAACCTGTAAAAACTGCAAGCTGAACATGTCAATGCAGAACTTACCAATGGACTGGATGCAACTGGGAGACAGACCACACACACTGCCACAATGTGTTGGACAGCTTGAGAGATCAAAGACAAAACTTAAGGGAAGAGCAAGTCCTTGCTGGCTATAGTGGGTGCTCTGGGGTTTTGCATAGATTACCACTTTGTTTATAGATAAGTATGCATTTTTCTCGAGCTTGCCTTTTTATGGAAAGATTTTGTGGAGATACAATGTACTGGCTGGAAAATTATTAGCTTTTTTAAAAACTTTTTTAAGTTATCAAATTTATAAAATAGAAAAATTGGTTTTGAATCTAGTCATTGAACTGGAATTTAATCCTGACCTAGTTCCCAATGGTGGGTGGTAATTATTTACCAAAAGCAAAGAGAAAATCAATGTCAAAAGGGCAAGCAGGGTGAGCACTGCTTTGAGGAGGGAACAAGTTTTACTACATTTGGATAAAAGAGTTAGCTTTGTAAAAACATTTTAGACTGTCTTGCTGAAGGACTCTGACCACAGAGTATGAACTAAAACGAACTGTGAGTGATACTTCTACATTGCAGATAGTAAGTTAAAGATCCCTCAGTGAAGGAATAGGAGACGTGAGACTTAGCAGAACACTCCTGACTTTATTATGGCTTGCCAAGGTGTTCATGACAGCCTGGTTGGCAGTCACTAATCTAGAAGAATGAATGAATACTGTATTACCCAATATTTGTGCTAGTAGTTCTCCTTGGAGTTATCATAGCCCCAAAATAACTTTTTTTTTTTTTTAATAATTGGGTAAGCATTTCCTGAATTAGTCTGGCAAATAAAGCAGTTATATTTTAAATGGGTCCTTAAGAAAATAGTTAATTGGGATGGCTGTTAAGACACAAAGGAGCTCTGGTGGTGTAGTACCTACTACATTTGACTACTAACCAGAACGTTGGTGGTTCAAACCCAACAGCCACTCCACGGACGGAAGACTGGGCAATCTTCTTCCATAAAGATTTACCGCCTCAGAGACCCAATGGGGGTCACTGTGAGTCAGAGTCGACTCGATGGCAGTGAGTTTGGTTTGGTTTGGTTAAGACACAAAGAAATAAAGAAAAACCAGCAGTCTATCAGTGTATAATATTATTCTGCATCATTTATTAAATATTTATTTTTATATATGCATTTACAAACTTTAAGTACTCGTTTCAGAACTCTGCTTTCAGTACATTTTTAAACTTTTTTATTTGCAGAGAAATTCTCTTGTAAAATGAGATCCACGTACAAAACTAGGCAACAGATATAAAAGTTTCCTCTCATACTTATCATCCATCAAGAAAAGAAATCATGTGACAAAGAAATAAAACCAAACGTGGCTCTTTCACAAGAGTAACATGTCAGTGTTCAACTATGAATTCTAATGGGATAGTTCATCTTTATGTGGCTGCATATAGTTTTAATACTTCTCAGCTACTGTAGCATATTGGTTCTGATGAAGAAAAAAATGAACTCTACTGTTTGTTTGGCTTAATCTAGAAACTATCAACTATTCATTTCTTCATAACACAATACCAAGATTCCACCCAGGGGGATGACATTGGTTGGCTAACAATATGCATTTATCCCAAACTTTGCATAAAAAGTTCCCTTTAAAAAACTCATTAACTTCTTTCCGAGCTAAAGTCTGAGCCTCTAGTTTGGCTCGCTTATTTAAAGAAATAATTATTTTAAATGATCAATTTAGAAGCTTAAAAGTCTTTTTGAAACTAAAGTTGCTTTTCTTAAAATGAATGCTGATTTAACAGTTCATAGACTTGGAGCATTATCACTATGAGACAGAGGCACTAACGCCACTAGCAATGAAAATGGCATCACCACAGGATAATTTCATGGTACAAATTGCCCGGGGGCCTGAAACTCGCTATTTATTAATATAGTTTTGGCAGCAGCATCATTTGCTGTTTAACCATTTATTACACAGTGTTAACACACTGGCTTCAAAGATGTGTACTCCCTCGAGGACTGTCAGGAGTTACAAATTTATTTTGATTGCATAATTCATACTGCAGTTTTATATATTAAAAAAAAAAAACCATAAATACTGGCTATTCTAGTTTTAAATACAAAATACATGTCATAATAGTTTTAAATCTGTAATCTGGTTCAAGTGCAAATCAGGTGCTTTCTTCAGTCCTTCCAAAAAAGGCATTTTTAATATTTTTGGCAGGAATGAAATCTCATCGTGCCAACAATTCTAATTACAATACGTATATCCAGACCTGTAGGGTAGCAATCATATACATACAGTATAAAACTGAGTATTTACAAATGTACTAAGCATAAATGTAGTCTTTGTGGGTGAATCAGAACTAGTTAGCCATACCCACACTAATAATAATTAAAAAAAGGTAAATACAGCTCCTTGACTTCATTGACTTATGCTGGTTGCTGTGGGTTGACATTCATGTGAGGAGGATGTCCTAGAAGACCAATTCTTTGTTTCTGCTTCCTTTGTTCTGTCATCTGGAAAGTTAAAAAGTTTCTTCATTAGACCCAGACACTTCCTGTACGTCAAATCATATACCGAACCATAGATTTACCTCTGTGGTTATGGTTTATACTGAAACCCACTTTCTACAAATAATGTACCGTCACTATAGCAAACACACAGAACTTCAAAAAAGGCATTTTCCTAGGCAGAACGGGGAATTCTGTAACCTAGTCATGCAACGTAACATTGAGAAGTATTGCTCGCTACTTGTGTCTTACAGAAACAAAAACCAGTCACAGAACATTTCTCACTGCTTACAAAATCCATTTCCAAATGATTTAAAGACTGCTTGGAAAGTGATGGCACTGTCAGATAATAAGTAACAGCATTCCATACTATCAAGAAGAGCAGTGTGCTTAGAATTCTCAGTTTGGGAGAGGGACTGTGCCCACATGCCAGTGGGTCCCGATTCCTCTCTCCAACGACTCGAGTAGTTTGAGAGACAAATTCACATAGTACATGTAGTATGTCCTGACGTCTCACTGAGATCCAGAATGGTTACATACCGTAACGGATGCTTTGGCAGGCAGTAGTGATTATTTCTTGCCACCAACAGACACTAAGGCTTGCTTTCGGTCAGGAAGAACCATCTCCTAAGGCTACTTCAAATGAAAAAGTTGTTGAAACCCCAAAACAAGAAGGTTGGACTATTCATTGGGCTGCTGAACTAACTCATCTCTCTGGTTGACAGGTACCCAGTCAGGGTATCTTAGGGCATACTTGGATTCCCTGTGCTAAGATTTTTCTTAACCCAGATAGGCCTAGACCTCTGGATTTGAGCCTGGGCATTTAAGTCAATTAAGATAAAAGGCTATATAAAATAGATAATAGATACAACTGTTGCCTACAAATGGTCCTGGCTCCTAGAATCAGAGTGGATTTAGGGTGGAGTAGTGGGAATAAATGCAGACTTTGGAATCAGACAGATCAATTTCTTTATGGTTTTACATTATTTAACTTCTCAAAGTCTATTTCTTATTACAATTAGGATGATAATTCTTATTTCATAGGTTGTTGTTGTTGTTGTTATGTACCTTTGAGTCGGACCCCTCCTTGGGTTTCCGAGGCAGTATCACTATGGAAGCAGATTGCCCCATCTTCCTTCCGAGGAGTGGCTGGTGGGTTTGAACTGCCAGCCTTCTGGTTAGCAGTCAAGTGCTTTAGGCACTATGCTCCCAGAGCTCCCTGTCTCATAGGTGGACAATTGAAAATGTATGAAAATTTCTTTGGACAGTGCAGCCACATAGTTGGTGCATTAACCTGAGTTTTCACTTGTAATAATTTTTGGTTCAAAATATCCTGAGAGAACATTAAAGAAGAATAACTTTCCCAGGTTTGATTTTAAAGTGGTTCTTTTCTCTTTTTCAAAACATAGCAGTTATCCTTTCAAATCAAAATACTATTTTTAGGCTCCTGTGGAAATGCTTTCTCTCTTATAATTTAGATGTCAGGGTGTACAAGGAGTGAGTATTTCCAAAAGGTGGCTTTCAATGAAGCTTTTTGTAAAGAAATGAATTGGGATATTCCAGCTAGCCTCTAAAGTTTTCTGAGATGAATGACAAAACCTTTCAAGGGCGTGTTACACTCTGTTGTACTATACGTCACTAATTCAGCTCAAGAAGGAGAACTTAATGTGACACGTGGAATAAATTCACAATTAGATTCTAATACCAGTAATACATTCATCTTATTGCCTGACAGTTCAGATACTTAGCTCAGACTTTTTTTTTTCCTCTCAACTATTTTGTTGGCAGATAATCTTGCGAATTCAATAAACTTCAACTAAACTTTCTTAATCTCAAACATTCTAATGGATTTAGGGATCTTGGTGGGTTCAGCCTCTATCTAAAGACACTTTTATTAGTTGATTGCTTCCATTTAAAGGGGCTGAGATCTTTCAGCTGTCCAAGTTGACCATTGAACTTTTTTCCATAATTTTGCTTTAAATAAGTACTTGTATTTGAGAGGATTTTTTTTTAATGTACATATTCGTCCTTGTTTGTTAAATTAGCACACCTTGACTTTTCAGTGTCGGTTATTCTATCATTCTCTTAACTTAAAGCCCTCTAGTATTTTATTCCCTATGGTAAATAAGTCTTCAGTATATGGTATGTACATCTTCTAACTTCCACAGCCATCACCTGACTGCTCACTGGTGGCCCTAATCTGTTTGTCTGCCTAAGGCAGTGATCACATGGTCCTTGCTCTCTCCTAAACCTTAAAGCTCTCTACTGCTGTAGTTTAGTGGCCAAAAGTCTTGCTCAGGCAGGCATTTTCCTGATAATTTCAAGTGCATAGTACATATCTATTTAATTTTATTTTCTATTACCCTAGGACAGTGCTTCTTAAACTTTAAAACACTTGGTTTATTAAAACACAGATCAAAGGACCAAAGTTTCTGAATCAGTAAGTCTGGGATAGGGTACAAGAATTGCATTTCTAAAAGTTCTCAGGTGATGTTGTTGTTGCTGGTCCAGGGACCACACTTTAAGAACTATTGCTCTGGAAGATTTTCTCAATCTTCAAAACAAGTCAAGATCACTTTGGGCATATTTTAATATACTTGAGCATATTTTGTTCTTTAAGTGTTTTGAGTATATATATATAATGTTTCTCAAATGAGATAAGGCATTGGACAAGATTCTCCCAGTCAAGTACATAGTTGTTTTTGTTGTCATATGCCGTCGAGTCGGACCTGACTCATAGCAACCCCTCCTTGGGTTTCCAAGGCAGTATCACTACAGAAGTAGATCACCCAATCTCCCTTCCGAGGAGTGGCTGGTGGGTTTGAACCGCCAGCCTTCTGGTTAGCAGTCAAGTGCCTTAGGCACTACGCTACCAGAGCTCCTCATTGTATTTAAGTGACTGATAAGAAGGAATTGGACAAGTTTTAAAATTTTTAGCCCTTTTGACAGTAGTCATCATGCAAAGATAACTAACTATAAACCCAAACCAAACCTACTGCTGTCAAGTCAGTAAGGGAACAAAACTAAAAATTCCTGAGGACTAAATCTGACCTATAACAAAGCAAGACCAACAAATAATTCTGGCCAGTTAGGTTATCTTGGCCCATTTCCTCATATAATTTCTGGCTTTATTGGCTCAAATCTATTCTCTATTTCTCTTTATGTCTCTGTATATCTACCACCCATCTATCTATCTATCTATATCTCTCTCTATATAATGTATATCTATATAATATATAAAATCTTGTCATGCGGCCTCACTATTATCTGTTACTGTTACCTGCTATCAAAACAAATAGAAATAATAACCAAACTCTATCCTTTGCATATTCCCCAAATGGCATTCTTTCATTCTTTCTGGAAATTTTTTGATAAAAATATCCATCATATTCAGATCTAAAGTAACTATATTCAAAGTCTAATATCGAAACACCTATTTTGAGTGAAATGTCCCACTTGTAGTAGTGACACGTAAAAAAAACAAACAAACCTGAAAACTCCCATTTAGTGACGCCATTCTTCATATTTACATAAGTCTAGAAATTAGCCTGATTTTTACTCCTTTAAGCCTATCTAACCAAGAAACAAACAAACAAAAGTATGTTATAAGGCAGATGCAGCCAAACACCTGAAAGATTTTTTCATAAAAACACAAAGCTTAGAGTCAAAAGAGCAAATTTCAATTTACCAATATTGCCCCCTAAACAATTAAAGGAGCTCTTGTGGCATAGTGCCTAAGGCACTTGACTGCTAACCAGAAGGCTGGCGGTTCAAACCCACAAGCCACTCCTCAGAAGGAAGGTTGGGTGATCTACTTCCACAGTGATACCACCTCGGAAACCCAAAGAGGGGTCACTATGAGTCAGGGCCGACTTGAGGGCACATAACAACAACAATAACAACAAACAATTAAAAGCTGGCACACCAACGAAAGTTCACCAACAGCACATGTAGGCAAGAGCCTGGTTTATCACAGATCCTAATAGTCTTTGAACAGCAAGGGCTTGCTTACTCAGATTCTAAACAGCTGGGAAACTCTAATAACCAGAATTAATTTTTACAGTCCTATAAATCAGTCATGCTCAAAAACCAAAAACCAAACCCATTGCTGTCAAATCGATTCTGACGCATAGTGACCCTATGGGACAGAGACAACAACCCCACAGGTTTCCAAGACTGTAAAGCTTCACAGAAGTAGACTGCCTTATCTTTCTCCTGCAGAACAGCTGATGGGTTCCAACTGTAAACACTGGTTAGCAGCTGAATGCTTTAACCACTGTGCCACTAAAGCTCCTTCATGCTCATAAGTCAGTACCAAACTCACTGCCATCATCAAGTCAATTCCGACTCATAATGACCTCATTGGGTTTCTAAGGCTGTAAATCTTTATGGAAGCAGACTGCTCCCTCTTTCTTCTGTGGAGCTTCTGGTGAGTTTGAACTGCCTACCTTCTGGTTAGCAGCCAAATGCCTTAACCACTACAGCACCAGAGCTCCTACATGCTCATAAAGATGGGCCTAAAACACTGAAAATTAAACCCCAAAACACCTCTTGAATAAAATCATATTGATACCAACTTCATACAAATATACACTGCTCAAGTTCCCAGAGTTGATCCCTAATGCTCTCTTCCTTTCTCTTTCACCTGGCAACTTTTCCCAAGCCTTCAGTCCAAGCTCCCGCATGACCACCTCAGAGGAGGTTTCTATGGGAATGATAGCCTTTGTCCAGGGCCTGGCTGAATTCCTAGAGCAACCTGTTCACACCCCTGTCTCACACTTACCATGCTGAACTATAATGTAGGTATTTACTTATTTGGAATCAATGTGATGGCAGTGGATTTTCTTTTAAATTTACTTGTTTGTCTCTCACTTTAGACTGTTAGTTCCTTGAAAGTAGACAATAGGTTCTATTCATCTTTGGCCCCCAGTCCCCAGCACTGTACCTGGTAAATAGGTGTTTCATAAATGTTGGCTGAAAGGACAAGTTGAATCAACCAGAACATATTGCCATTCCTTGAGCATGCCATGTATTTTCATGCCTTGCTCATATGGTTCCTTTCCGGGGATGCCCTACCTAGCTCTGCCAGCTCAGAAATCCCCTGTTTGTAGACTGTGGAAACTGAGCACCTTCCTCACTTCTTGGTATTCACTTAATCCTCATGTGGTGCTGTCTACTTCTCAGTGCCCCAGGGACTTTATTCATGCCTCGGATCATCGTACTTGTCATACTGCACCATATTGTTAGAGGTCTACTTTGCCTTTCATGAGCCTCGAGGGCTCACATTGCCTTGCTCCTTCTTTGCAGTCCCAGTACAGTATAAGGAACACACAGACTCAGGGAAATTTGTTTAACTAATATTCCATTTTCCAACTATGGGTAATTATTCTAATCTTAAATCCTCCTTTAACCAGTTAATATTATCAAGATTATCCTCTTGCATGAAAAATGCCAAACATTATAACATGCTATGTATTTCCAGTAGCATAGTGGCTAAGACACTTGCCTGCTAACCAGACGGCTGGCAGTTCAAACCCACCAGCCACTCCTCGGAAGGAAGGTTGGGCAATCCTACTTCCGTAGTGATACTGCCTCGGAAACCCAAGGAGGGGT